GAAATCCTCCATGCAATCAAACAAAATCCCTGCGAAACAAATCCATGAAAATGAATCTAATGCTCACTAGTGACAGGTCCTATTCAGGTAGGCAGTTAACTGGGGTTCTAGTGGGGAGCTGTGACCAGTAGGGTACAACAGGTTGAAGATGAAGCAGTAACTCATCGCACTATGTTGTAAATTAGCAGAAGTTAGAATTCAAGGACCATTGGATCGGGTGCCAGTGTCTCAATGGTTTATGAGCCCACACATCAGACGCTGGTAAAATATGTCCTCGAATAACTCATTCAGCAATGTAAGATGTAATCTAGGAGGGTATGACATAATAAGTGTGAAAAATAACGGATCGGTATAAGGGTGTAAAGTGAACAAAAACTAGTCTTCTTTTTTCTTTTTTTTCCTTCACATTCCCAGAGGAACATTGGTTTTCAAGCTAGAGGCTTGAAGTTTCTGTAGCAGTGTTTATTTTTACAGGTTCAGGTTGCTAGCCTCATGCCTAACCTTTCCTCTTTACCGACTTTTATTACTTGTTTGGCGAGGTAAAGAAGTGCGTTGGTCGGTGATCGAACCCCGGAGCATGTGCAGGGTCGGCGAGTATCCTAACCACTATGCCGCCGACCAAAAAAAACTGGTGGAAAGAAGATAAGGTGTTTTTTTTTCACAAAATCTGTATGAAAACGCAGTTATTAATAAACAGTAATAAAGTAATAATGAAATGCGGATTATGAGAACAATAATAATAATAATAAACTTAATAAAGTGAAGCAAAGTTATAGTAAGAATGTTACTCTGACCATAGAAGGGTGGGTGAATGAATGTAGTGCTTTCGAAATTAAAGGTCTGGTTTCATATTCCGAATAGTCAATGATTCAGCTATGTATAGATGGCGTATTCCAAGTCCTTCAAGCCCTATTAAGGGACTCTTTATAGCACTGTGAAGTAGTCATGCGGAGGTGCTCGATGTCCAGAGTTGACAAATGTGTTCGAGAATACAGCTACTTGTGTTCTTCTTTTCTCTTCTGTCTAATCAGGCTGGAGAGTGTTCCAGAATGCATTTGTGGGCTTGACGTTGTTTGCGACCAACATACTTTGTTCCACGCGAGCAAATAGACCCACAAATACACCATGAGTTGGCCAAAGGCGGTATCTTATCTTTAACATATGACCATATATATATATATATATATATATATATATATATATATATATATATATATATATATATATTGTCTGATAGCTATCGAATATAAAAGCAGTAAAATCGTTTTCCTGCCTTGCAGACACCCTCCTCTCCTCATTCACTGATGCCAAATAGGCATAGACACAACGGCAATAATATCCGGAATACTAGAAGTAGTTAGCGTCGTTAATAGCTTTTATAGTTGTGTGTCCGTGTGTATATATATACGCGTCGTTACTGCTATTGTCATACTTCGTCTAACTATTTCGCATGTTCATTCTCTAGAAATGCAAGTAAAGATAATTCATTCAACTGAGATAAGTATGTTCATTAACTAACTACCTGATTAATATGCTATTCTATCCGATTTTTATTATTTTTATTTTTATGCGTTTTTATGGTATCATAACTTTATCCCATATTGATTATATCAGCTGCTTTGAAGTAGACAAAGAGAGAGAGAGAGACAGAAAGAGAGAGGGAAGGAGGGAGAGAAAGAGATGGAATAATCCTGATTTCTTCTTATGTAATCACCAGACGTATGCTTTTAACTCTACATGTACCGCCATCTACGTACACGAACAATAAATCAGACACACACAAACACACAAGTAATATACTGCTGATCTGCGTGCGTCTATGGTGCGTGTGTGTGTTGGAGGGGGGGGGCATGAGTTTGTTTTCTCTTATCGATTAAACATAAATTATTCGATGACAACAGCACTTTTTTGAAAGTAGAATATTTTAAAACTGATTAAAATACAAGACAAGCAGTTCAGTAAAGAGGCTCTTTTCCACGGCATATTGATTTTCCCCTTTTAGATGTACAGTCGAAGTTATATATAATCTCTTTTCCATGAAAGACGGTAGTAACAAAAGTGATGAGTTGTCACAAAGATAGTTGTTAATATTAGTTGAACAAGTGCATTAGTGTTACATAATAAGATGAATAAATTAATGAATGACTGGAATCAGAATGCACATAGAAACAATCGAAAATATGGAATTATGTAAGAAGCCCAAAGGACAAGATCTCGCATTTGACTATTTCTATGTACAAATATCAGTTCACCTGTTACTGAGGAGCAGGCTGAATTGGTAGTTAGACACCTATCTTTTCTAAATGGGTCTGAGAAGGCTATTCCACATGACTGCAGAGAGACACTAGAGTGTCTGTAAGGGGTGCGGTAATCGAACACCTTATCAACACGGGACATTCTATCTCAACAAACGCCTCATTCTTCAAAGTAATCTACCAAAGTCAGCAAGCTTTCTTCTCCTCTGTGTATTGCTAAAGCCCTAGCCATTTAGTAAGAATAACTGGAATAATGCATACAAAAGAAAATCACTCAACTACTCCTACTACAGTGGTAACAATCTAACTGTTGATTACTACTCACTTGATTTCTGTTTGTTTGTTCTTCTAATTTCTCGTAACTTGTATATTTCTCTAGAGCTCTTACATAATTCCATATCCTTTTCCATTTTTATGTACATTCTGATTAGTACTCATTCTTCATTAAATTATTCAACTTATTACGCAACAACAATGCACTTGTTCAGCTCCTTTTATGCGTTAACTAATACTGATTTCTTTTTGATTATAGCTTGATTCCACACAGTATCCTGGTACACGTATGGAGTTTTCAGAATGTGACATCGGTAGCGAAAATTTAAAAGGCCGACCACTGATATCAGGTGTGCGTCGAAGGAGGATTAAACCCCCGAACATGTGCATGGTTGATAGGCGTCCTAACCACCATCCCACCGATGTAGAACTATTTTTGTGACTACTAACCACCTTTGTTTCTACTTCATTTTGTGAAAAATGGACTGCATGTAACTTTGACTGTACAACTAGAGGGGAAAATGAATTCTCCGAGAAAAGTCTCTTTACTAAACCACTTGTCTCCTTTTTATAAACGTTCAGATGGGAATTTTTCATGAATTAAACTAATAATGAACAAAAGGTTCATTAGTGGCCTAATGGTAGGATACTCGACAACTACTCACGTTGTTCGGGTTTGATTTTCGGCTGACTCATACCAAACACCTGAAACCGTAGTTAATTGTTCGGAAAGAAATAGTGACTGGTCTTTCCTTGCCCTGGTGACTTGATGTCCTGACACTCTCTTTCTTCGGATTAAGTAGTTTTTGGCTTCAACCTCTGTCCCCCTTCTTACATGATGTAACTTTGGTTGTCTGTTGTTTCTGTGATTTGAGTTGAACTCGGTACATTGTTACTCAGTTTATTAGTCACTCATCATCTTACTTATCTCTCGTCTTTATTACGTAACTCCTTTACCATTGTATGCATAAATTGATTACTGTTTAAACGTGAACGAACTGTGTAAAAACTATATAAGGTCAATTTTCTGAGCACCGTTCATTAGGTATGGAGCCTCTGATTAACTAACATCACTTCACATTTCAAGTATGTTATATATCTTCTGTAAATAAGCTTAATAATTTATTTAGGCTGTACGCAGATGATGAGAAATCAAAGAAATAAATGATGGTGTCATCTTATTCTGCACGAACAACTGTTCTTGCCTTATTCAAATCCGAAAAGGGGAATAAATGCATGAAATAACACAAAGTTAACTTGGAGGTATCACAGAGGCGACGATGGTAGACACTGACATTCAGACGGGAGATCAAGAATATTGGTCCATTAAAATAATGACAGTAGGCAACAGTCAAGAATAGACACCAAATTCAAAAGATCATGAAACAGCCAATCAGATTCTTCCGGATGAAAAGTGGTACTTAATTTACAAAGAAGTGTATCTACGATATATATTTAATATAAATGAATCAAATAGGGTATATATCTCGAATATGCTGTGAAGACTGGTCCCAAATTCTCACAGAAGTTGTTGTAGATATATCAAACCAATGTATTTTCTATTTCTTCAGCTGTAACAGATACTGGTTGCATGTACGCAATATATTACTAAGGGAGAGCTTTAATTTGGAGAAGAAAGTGTTTAAAAAAATCACCAATTATGTATGGCTTACCAACTTATACAGACTTCCTCATATAAAATCGTTCCATCTGAATGTATAACCAACAATAGCCCGGCAATAATTTTGCAGACTCATTATCTCTTCACATATGCATGTTTTACGCTTTCCTATCAACCCATTTTTCACAGAGAAGTCAAAAACCAAACCTGAGAGACATTTTCAACGAGGATTACGACTAGCGACCATTTGTAATGCTGAGCTATCTGATTGGTCAAATCAAGGTCATTTGACTTTGGTGTCTATTCTTTACTCTTGCCCGACAGTAAAACTGAAGTTTATTAAATGCTGACACTGCGTTTATTTAATGAGGAAAACCCTGCAGTGCAAAATTGAGTCAGTATTTTCATTTTGTATACTTTTATGTACATATATAATGTGTGCTACTGACAAGATTTATCAGTAGTATATAGACGTAGATTGAGAGAAAGCCACCCAGATTGAAGACAATATTTTAAATCAATAGTTGCAGAGGTAGAGGTGTTGTTTATGCCTAAAAAAACTGGGTTTAGTTTGCGTTGTGGTCAGGAAATAATCCCATTGGATAACTTTTCATCTATAGATTTAACCTTCAGAAAATCAACACCCAATCAGAACAGCTTATTATCCGTTGACCTAGCCTACTTTAAATGTGACTAAAAGTGTACAAATATGGAGACTTTTTCCTTGATAAAAAAGGTGCGTTATCAAGTTTTTTATTTTACCCAGTTGCGTACATTTGTCAATCAAAAAATTCTCAATTCTTGATAAAGAATTTGCTACTTTTTTAATATTTTCTTATTATAATGATCAGCTCCACAAGAAGATCAACAGATAGTTCTTGATTTTCGTGGACCTTATCAATTCGAGCAATCAGCTGAATGCATCAATGATTATTTAGAAGTTCGTGATGGTGAATATGGTTTCTCACCGTTGATCGGCAGATTCTGTTCAGATAATCGTCAGCTACATTCCATTAAATCAAATGGTCAATGGTTGCGGTTACGTTTTCATTCAGATTTTAGTATTGAAAAATCTGGTTTTCAGGCTGTTTATTATTTTACTAAATTAAGAGGTAAGTCAGAGTTTAGAAAGTGAATTTCTGTTTGTATTCTTTGAAGCTAATGATTTTGTTAATACATCAGTTAGTTACTGGAAAAGAACCATCCTTATATTATCTAAAACTTTGGGAGTAACTGCGATTCTCGTCGGTCAAGTTTGCAGTGTGGTCACCAAGCTATTCACCGTGAACTGATATTGGATGGTCGAGGGTAATTATCAGAAGGACTTGTGTCTAGGCTTTCAGCTTGCTAGCTTCTCATCGAGAAGGTGACTCTGAAGGCTTGAAGGAAGTTATATCCCCTCCGAGATTCAGACCTGCGTCACTCAGCGCTGCAGTCAGTCATGTTAACACCGAGCTAATAGGATGAAGATAGGCCTCCTGCTGAACTATAATAGATATATTGATTGGTTGCGAGACTAGTCAGTGAATTCCACCAATCAGGTTTGAGGTACGGCCACTTCGCGGTGCACCTCGAAATGACGTTAGATGCCTGGAGGTTAACTACAGCTCAAATGGCTTAGTAGCAAACTCTCTGACTGTATCACTTCATGAGGAGGATTTAAATGTCCTAATGGACATCAGTGACACTGAGAATGCAGGCAAACTTTTCTGACGAATACCAAATAAGCGTAAAATCCTCGTGTGGGGCTTCATATGAATCATCTACAATCATCTAACATCAAAGTTTCTAAATATTTCACTTGCAGAGAATTATTTTGCTTAATTTGTCAAGGAAACTGCTGAAATGCATTTTAATATCACTGATAAATTTCTAATATGATTGAATTTAACAAACAGGACTTCAACGACACCAGTTGCCATCATGCCTGTTAGCATTATGGTAGCAACTGATCATCAAACAGCCTTAGCTGTGAGTTTCGCACCTGTTGACCCTTGTCAGCAGCATGCACTTACAGCTTTAGAGATGGAGATGCATCCTTCCTCTGAATATTCAAACCTTCGTTAAGCCGTATCAAAGTCAATCATACTTCTACTGGGATATATTTAGATATCCGCTGATCTCTTGTATCCTGTAGGATTACGTGCTGCACCATAGTTCTATTGATCAAATACTCCTTTTAAATGACATTAAATAGGAGTAAATGAAATGGCATCATTCATTTAGAAGTTGAATTTGCAGAAATTTCAGTTATTTCAAAGTGCATAGGAGTTAAAATTCAAATGTACATAAAGCCTGACCCATTGATTAAGGGATTTACATGCCCACCTGGTATATGGATAGTTCTTAAATGGTTGGAGGCAGTCATCAGGAGGCTCTGCCTGATCTAGGTTTGGCGCTTGTTTGCACTAAACAGTCAGCATGGCAGGCCTATCCTCAATCTTCAAGGAACTCAAATCTCTTCTGAGATTTGGACCTATATCACCCAGTATTGCAATTAGAGACGTGACCACTGAGCTATTTGGACTCACGACTAACCTCCTATAAGACTGTGTTAGATACGTTGATTGGACACTAGCTAGTAACTGGTGTAATGTATCTATTCATTTCCTTGGTGTAGACTGAATTCTATCAGTCAAGTTTGCAATGTGGCCACCATTGCACTGTGATGGTGAACCAACTGGCTTTGTGGCCGCATTGCAAACTTGACTGTTGGAATTCAGCCTGCAGCAAAGAAAAAAACTAGACTCATGACGCTACTTAGTATCTAATCAGAATATTGATGGTTTTGTATTCTAACTCCAGCGTAATTACAGGTACGTATTACAATGGAAAAGTGATCCACTGATTTCCAGCTTGTAATGTCGGACGTCACACAAGAAACAGGAAATCCAAAACCTTCTAGCAAAATTATTCAAGAATTCAGATTTTTCAGTGAATAAGACTACAATCGATACAACTTTTGCTTTTCCTTCTTCTATGGACAAAATCTTTAGTATGATTAACAGATAAGGTCATACGATACCCCTTTATGGTGTTTGGCATCTAGATCAAGTGTTAAATGTCAGTAAGAAGGAATCCTAGATCATCTTTTACTTTCTGTTTTATCTCATACACTAGGGCTGACTTTATCATAGTCAACGTCTAATTCGATTACATCTTCTTAAGGCTGTGGATTTGATCACTGATAGGATCAAAGGTAGGTAGGCACAACTATAAAGTTGGTTTGTGATATCAGTCACTATCTGCATAAATCAAAAATCTGAACTGATTTTATTGCGTAAATGTTTTGTGGAATTCATCAGTACTTCTAGTATGTGACACTCGGTGGTGGCAACTGGTATTCTACATTAGTTTCTTTTGGCCGGTAAAGTACAAACACTAAGGAGGAACAGCATGGATCCTTTGTATTCCGTTTGTACACCTCATCAACTGCGTGCAACCCACAGTCTTTGATAAAATAGGCCAGTGTACAATTTTAACGTACTTTCATCTGTCGAAAGGCATAATGTAATAGCATCATAGTGAGATGAAACAACAAGATGATAAGGTACCTGAAGTATTACAGTGTAAATATATCGTGTTAGAAAGAAGTTTCTCCGTTAATCAACTTAAAATTTTGTTGTGTGGGTGGTAACAAAAAATTTGTAGCACTTACGTAGTTGGACAAGAGAAGATCAAAATTTGATGTGCAAGAGGTCAAATGAAAAGGTAACTGTGATGAAATACGATGAGTGGAACTCATAAGGTCAAAAGTAATTATCTATCATGGATGTTAAACGGATAAAGTTGTGGGAAAGGGCTGGTTGAAAAGATAAGTTAATGAAATTACAAAACATGACGAATTATTAAGCGATGAGTCACCAGGGTAAATAAAATTCAACCACAGGTTCTTTTTCGACACCTTGGTCAAATTTCAGCCGAAACTAAACAAGACTTCAGCTATTTTGTCTGTTAATTATTTTGAATGGTCGCAATGTTTTATTTCACTATGATTCTGTTACAATACGCTTGTTGATAGGCAAAAGTATGTTAAAATTGTACACTGACTTGTATTTATTAAAGATTACAGGTTGTTCGCAGCTGATGAGATGAACCAAGGAAATAAAAAGAAACCATGTTAATCTGCATCAACATCTGTTGTTCTTTCTCCGTTCAAATTTATAAAAGGGAACTTCTGTGTGAAATTAATTTGTTTATTGGAAATTTCACATGCGGTTACTTATTGCATGATGTCTCGAACACAGTATGTTGTTCATAATTATGTCATTGTCCTCATGGGATTTTGAACTTGATTCATTGGTCACTGCAATTACTAAAGTATGCTTTGAATTTCCCTGATGTCAAGATTATTATTTTCTCCCCTGTTATTTTGCAGGTAAAGAGGAACTACTGCCACAGAAACGTGAGTAAAGTGTTCCCATTTTGTTCACAATTTTTTTGAAATGTTGTATACAAACCAGTATTATATTGTATTATTATTCTTTTGTGTTCCGAATGGAACATAGGGCTTCAACAGCACATCTATACTATTTTTAATAAGATTATAGGTTTCAAGACCGTAGGTGTTACGAACTTCCTAGAATAATTTGAGCGCTGAGTCAGATTGATTCATTACAAATTATTTAAATTAAGCCACAGCTTCTTCAGCAAATTTATTTGCACACAGGTTTCTTGCTTGTTCGGATTCATCACCTCTGAATTTTGAACTTGTGTAACCCAAAACCACAGTCAAGAACGTTTCTGCAAGGCCATCCGGGCTCAAAACTGACCTCCTGTAAGGCTGTAATGGATAAGATTCAGTCAGTGCTGTCCAGAAATTCATGCGACTGTCAAGCTATTACCCAGTTATAAATCACGAATCCACCATCATCCTCACATTCTTCATTACATACATTCGTCACATATAACACGCTAATAGTGAAATACAGTCTTCAACTGGTGAATGTGAGTCAGTAGTTCAGCTTTAGAACGCTCAAAAACCACACCTCACATGGTCCGCGTTTCGATCCTTGACCAATGCACTCCTGAACCTCACTAAGCCGATAGTAAGACCGGTAAACAGGGAAGGTTGGATAAGTGGCCAGAAACCTCAGTTCGTGAAAATAAATAAACACCACTGCTACAAGAATTTAAAAGTTTGAGCTTATAGCTATGTGTTCCAATGAAAACGTATAGGAATAAAATAATCATAAAAATTTAACTGACAAACATCTGATCGATTCAGAATATTCGAATTTCTCATTTTCTCGATATCTATTGGGGTGTTCACGTCTGAAGTCAGGAAAAACGAGGAAGAGAAATCCGTCTACTGAGTCTAGGCTTTCATCGATTGCCAAAGTAACTGTGGTTCATTCCCAAATCTACTTTTAGGTGGTTTTATTTATCGAACGAGTCGTTGTAGAGAGTCACTAAAAGGAATAAGACAGTTCATCAATGAAGCAACTTCTGCTTTACAATGAATTATTATTACTTCTACTGGATTCGAAGTAGAAAATAGGGCATCAACAGCACATCCCCACTCTGTTCTGTTCTCTACAGCTCTTTTCATCTAGATCCACGAGTTCCCATAGGCTTACATCTCCTGTACACACGATCTCCTCCATGTCACACTAGAGCCCACTCCCAACTCCTCGTTCCCCTATTGGGTTTCACTTGAAGGTCTGGCCGTGAGATGTCATTCTGTGGTCTCCTCAGCGTTTGTCCATCTCTAATTTCGTTTACATATTTCTTAGGCAACAGGCACTTGGTCGGTTCGTTCGCAGAGTTTCTTGTTCTCTGCTGATTATTTCTGGACAACCATTTCATACTCGAAATGAAACCAGTGTAAGGAGCTGCTGATAGACGTCGGCGGTGTAATGTTGGAAATGTTTTAGGTAACACTCACGCCAAGCTTCTGACCCATATTGAAGAACTGACTGACTGATTTAACATTGGCATTAAAAATTCTAATCTTGCTGTTTATGGTGAGAGAGAATGGTGGAAAAGATTTCCCAACTGATTTGAGAATGATGAAGGTCCAACTTGCATTTACAATCCCGACTAGCTTTGACATTCTCATCCATCGAATAGGCTGTACTTGAAATGAAACATTACAATGGATGACTGTTATAAATTCTACATTCAAGAGTTGGTTTGTTAGGATTAAATTTGTTTTTATGAGTTTGACCACGGATTGATATCAGTTAGAGAACCATTGAGAAAACCAGCACTAGAGTACTGGAGAGCTGTTTCATCCCAGTTTGAGAATCATTGCCAGTACACACCCACCATCAAGATTCGACCTCAGAACCTTCCGGTTACAAGGCAAGTTAGCTCGTATACCATTCAGCCTATGATTCCTAAACTAGTTGGATGAAACAGGTGTCCAGTACTCCAATGCTCGTTTTCTCAATGGCTCTCTAACTGATATCAATCCGTTGTTAAACAGTAGAAATGAGCAGCCAATTGAATACTAACTATTTCCTTTGTCTTCTACATGTCTAAATGGAGATTTCTTTCACCTATGGATGTATGTGCTATCAGAAATAGCAAAAATAGTAGTGTTAAATTAAAATACGCTTGAAAATAGTTTAAAAACAACAACTTACTTAAGGAGAAAATAAATATATACATAAATATACTTCAAAGATAAATTTGTACGCTAAACAGACCATGAAAAATTGTGTGTGGGAAATGAAGACCATGCGGTTTAACCACAAAAAAGATTCTTTTTAACACAAGTGTACAGCACAGAAATAGCTAAATAGGTTTCTTCTGACAATATTATTATTATTATTAAATTTCTAATAATTAGCAAAATAAATAAATAAATAATCTAAACATGAGAATTTACCAGAGAATAGTCAGAATCTAATAAACACAACTTATTATGACGAAGAAGACTTACAAGCAAAAACCGACAAACTGGTCGAAGAAGCAGCCGGCGAAGACAGGACTCCAGGTGAACATAAACAAGACGAAGGTTATGAAAATAACCAGCCAACAACAACAACATTAACATCCAGCACTAGTCACCATCAACGGGAAGAATTTGAAAGAAGTAACCTCATTCATTCACTTATCTAGGGAGCATTGTCTCAACTAAAGGCAGTTGGAATGGACGAGGATGTCAAATCGAGCGAGAATCGGGAAGGCGAGAAACACATTCACCAACCTGAAACCAATCTGGAAATCTTCGTCACTCAGCCAGCATCAACAGCAAAATTCGGTCGGATTTTCAATACAAACGTCAAGTCAGTCAGTTCTTCTATACGGATCAGAAACTTGGCGGGCGGGTCACAAAGAATATTTCCAACAGCCTGTTGCAGACCTTTATTAACAACTGTCTTCGCTGTCTCTATACTGAAGATCAGATGACCAGGCCGGAAAGAATCACCAACAAGAAACTATGGCTGGGAATGAACAAAACAAGAACCAATCGCCAACCAACAAATATGCAGGAGAAAGTGTAGGTGGATTGGAAACTCGCAGATGAGGAGGCCGCCGCTGGGTGACATTGCGCGCGCGTCAGGCCATTGCTCGAGTGAAACCCAACAGAATGGAAAGCGGCGAATGGGACATCAGTGAAAGGGTGACATGGAGGAGATCGTGTGAAGAGGAGTTGAAAGGGTATGGACTAACGTGGATGGAGGTGAAAAGTACAGCAGAAGACAGAAGCAAGTGGAGACGTGCAGTTGAAGCCCAACGTTCCACTAGGAACCAAAAGGAACAATAATAATTATTATGACAGAATAATTAGCAGCAAGGGACTTTATGAACGAATCAGTCAAGAACCTGTTGCTCAAAAATATGCTGAAGAGAGTGTGAATAGATCAGGTACACGCTGATGAGACTTTCAGGCGATACCGCACCACTGGAACCCCAGTGGGAAACGATGAGTTGGTTGTGAGGTCAGCTGAAGAGAACGACACAGAGAATAAGACAAAGTAGAAGTGCGATGTTAATCCTCTGTTTTCACCTCGGAACCAATGGGTGTAATAATAATAAATGCCACTATTATTACAGGTGATAAAGGTTGACTTTGGTAAGTTAGAGAGATTCAGAAAACAGACAAAACTGGACCGAAGTTTCTTCCTAATATGTGACTTTGCTGTGACTCTTCAAATTATGTTGTTTCATTGAGAAATCAAGCAGTCGTCGCACAGTCTGTTATCTCAGTGATCAGGGCAAATACTGATAACTGGTATTACGTGATGTGTCGGTGGCACAGTGATAGAATGCTCGCCAACCATGCCACATGTGGTCAGGGGGCTCGATCTCCAGTCGACGGACTCCTAAACCACTCTAAGCCGGTAACAAAAGTGGTAAAGAGGGAAGGTTGGGAATGAGGCTAGCAACCCTACTGCGCAAAAATAAAAGCCATAGCTACCGAAACTTCAAACTTCTAGCTTGAAGCCCTATGTTCCACCGGGAACGTTAAGGAAAGATATCACGTAATAATTAAGTAGAAGAGGTAATTAGAAGGACATTTTTAAAACAGAAGAAGGCTAAGACTATTAAGCAAGGAATGACTGAACGAGCCTCTATTGTGTACAAAGTACCTGCTGCTTTATTTTGATAGACAAAGACTAAGTGATACACAGGAGACAAACACGTTGAGAATTCAGCATTTTCCTATCCTAGTGTAATGTCGCCTAATTTACTGTTTATTTCTTAGACCGGAAAACAGAAAAGGTTGGGTGATGGCAGTCTTCAGCAACCCCATCTAGTAAAAAAAACAATCCCATTGCTACTTAAAATTCGAATTAAAGGGAAAAAACTTATTCTCTGTACAAGCACAAGGATGCATACTAGACGAGATGGGTTTCATCATATGAACGTATAAAAAGTCAGATTGACTTCAATTTGAGCTCAAGAAAGTGTCGATACAGTCTGCTGGACACAAAATATAGGAAATGAGCAGATATGGACCCAGACCATCATCTAGTTCAAAGAACCTTCAAGATCAAGTTGAAAGCCCCTGAAGCAACTGAAGACTGACCAGAATTCGAGTTCAGTATCTAGAAACTGAAGTACAAGGCTTGTAGGATACTTAACAGTGAGCCTGATAACAGTACGAAATATCAGATTAAAAATCCAAGTTCATGAAAGGATATTGAAACAGTATATTATTAAAATACAGTTAACCAGTTAAGAAAGTTAATGATTACTTGAAATGCAGTTACAATCCACTGCTACTGTGGTGAGAGCAGGCTGCTAGCCGATTGGTAGACATTAATCTACATCAATGTCTAGGTCACCAATATTGGCCTTGAGAAAATATGAACAAGGCTGATTCAACAACCAATCACAGCAGACTTAAGGTGGGCAAATATGATTCGCAGATAGATGGCTCCATTTTTCGAGGAAACCCGAAACAACCAATCAGAAGACTGTGTTTATCTACTTGAATAAGCTTTAATA